GGTTGCAGGCTTCTTCCCCTGGGCACCTAGCCTAGCCAGGAAAATTTCAGAAATTAGTGCTATGAAAGATCTCTATATGATGCCCAGTGGGTAACTGCTTTTTCTGCCACAGAGCATCAACTTATTCTATAGAAATATATGGTTTTATCCATTTGTGGTCTGTGTCAGTTTCAGCCACACAGTAATTCCTAAGTAATAAGCCTTGGGTAATAGCGTTATACTAAAAATAATCACTTAGTCTCTGATGCTCCTTTTTTCAGCAAGGTACCTGAACATTTCAGCTCCATGGGTTCCTGGATGAGACAGATTATCTGAATCCATTTCAATCCAGGCCGGTTATGGGGCAAGAATAGCTTTGTTTTATCTTGGCAGATGAGCTACACTGAAAACTGTACAGGAAGTATGTCCCTGTTGGTTCTGTTGAACTTTGTACCAACTTTCAAATGGTATCCCTCTGAGCCATCTCTCTGGAATGAGGCTCAAAGGCAGTATTTTGGCTGTGACTGTGGTCTTTCCTGGACAGGCAAGCTCAGACGTGGTACTGGGGAACTTCTTCAACATCCTTGCCATTAGCCAATACAGTAGTGTCCCTAAGGGTTCTGTTTTGTTGCCCATAAGGTAAAAGTAAAGGTAAAGGTTCCCCTTGACAATTTTTGTCCAGTCGTGTCCGACTCTAGGGGGCAGCGTTCATCCCGCTCTTCAAGCCATAGAGCCAGCGTTTGTCCGAAGACAATCTTTCCGTGGTCACATGGCCTGTGTGATTTAGACATGGAACGCTGTTTACCTTCCCACCGAGATGGTCCCTATTTATCTACTCGCATTTGCATGCTTTCGAACCGCTAGGTTGGCGGGAGCTGGGACAAGCAACGGTCGCTCACTCCATCGCGTGGATTCGATCTTACGACTTCTGATCTTCTGACCCTGCAGCACAGGCTTCTGCGGTTTAGCCCACAGCGCCACCACGTCCCTTGTTGCCCATACTATTTAACATATACATGAAACTGTTGGGAAAGATTGTTGAGTTTTGGAGTTCAGTATACAAGTGACACCCAAATCTGTCTTTCATTCCCATCTGATTCCTGCTCTAAATCAGGTTCTGGCATCAGCAATGAGCTGGATGAGGGCAAAAAGAGTGAAACTTAATCCAGACAAGATAGAGGTGGTCAGTCAAAAGACAAATC